AATCAATCCACCTCATAGAGGGCCTTCCCCTCCGGCGGCGTCCCTCCACCCTCCCAAGCATGATGTCCTTCTCCAAGGACTGGTCTCTCCTCACAAGATGTCCAAAGTATGTTAGACAGAGCTTCAGATTCCTTGCCTCCAAGGAGCCACCCAGTTTAAACCTTTCCAGGATGGATCTGTTTGTTTTCCTAGCAGTCCATGGTATCCTCAGTACTCTTCTCCAGTACCACAGCTCAAAGGCATCAATTCTTCTTCTATATTCCTTGGTCATTGTCCAACTCTCTGAAGCATAACAAGTGATAGCAAAGACCATGGTCTGTATCAGACGTACCTTAATCTCCAGAGAGACACCATTGCTCTTCAGTACTTTGGAGAGGTCCCTAACAGCAGACATTCCCATGGCAATATATCGTTTAATTGTCTGACTACTGGTCCCAAGAGTGTTGACTGTGGAGGCTAAAGTCTTTTACCCTCTGCAGCAAGTGCTTCTGGTCCTCCTCAGTTTCAGCAAGTAGGGTTGTTTCATCTACATAATGCAGATTGTTGACAGATCCATCCAACAATCTTGCGGCCACATTTCTCCTCTTAGAACCCAGCCTTCCAGATAATCTGTTCTGCATACAGGTTGAAAAGGTATGGAGACAGGACACGTCCCTGGTGTACGTCCTTCCCAATTTTGAACCATACAGTGTTCCCTTGCTCTGTTCTGATGACTGCCTCCTGGTCCGAGTATAGGTTTCGCATTAGAACAATCAAGAGTTCTGGGATTCTCTTTCATCTCAGAGTCAGCCACAGCTTGTTATGATCCACACAGTCAAACGCCTTTGCATAGTCAATGAAACACAGATATACATTCCTCTTGTATTCTCTGGTTTCAGCTATGATTCATCTAACATTAACTACTATATCCCTAGTACCATGACCCCTTCTAAACCCAGCCTGGACTTCTGGCAGTTCTCTGCTGATGTGCTGTTCCAGTCGTTTTTGGATAATCTTCAGTAGAATCTTGCTTGCATGTGAAATCAATATTGTTCTATAGTTTCCACACTCTGTTGGGTCACCCTTCTGTGGGATGGGAACAAATATATATCTCTTCCAGTCTGTTGTCCAAGTGGTTGTTCTCCAGATTTCTTGGCACAACTTGATGAGCATGTCCAAGGCAGCATCTGTTAGCTGAAATATTTCAACTGGTATACCATCTATTCCTGGGCCTTATTTTTTTGCCATTTCCTTCAAAGCAGCATGAACTACTTTTTTCATCACCATAGGCTCTTGCTCATATGTTGTTTCATGAAATTCTTCTGTCTGCCAATTCTTTTCCATACAGTGACTTATTGTATTCTTTCCATCTTCTTTTAATTCTTCCTGGATCATTTAATATTCTTCCTAAAGCATTCTTGATTATAGCAGCTCGAGGTTTGAATTTGTTCTTCAGTTCCTTGAGTTAAGAAATGCTGAGCGAGTTCAGCCCGTTTGATTTTCTGACTCCAACTCCTTGCACATTTCATTTTAATATTTTGCTTTGTCAGCCTGTGCTGCCTTTTGAAATCTTCTCTTCATTAAATGTTAATGTGATAACTGTTGATGGCCTTGAAGTTGAACATGACTCATAATGACCCCATGAACAAGAGGCCTGAAGCCCCACTACAGCTATTGACATTTATCAAAGTTCATAGAGTTTCCGGAGGGATGTTAGGAAGTGGATGTCCCTCCTGCTTCATAAAATACAAATACTAGATATGTGAGACATGACCAGTTATTTAAATAATACTTTTTAAACATGCTATTAGGTAGCTCTGGTGGCCCAGGTGGTAGAGAGATTTACTGCTAATGAAAAAGCTCTGCTACACTGGTGGTCCAAATCCAACAGGTACTCCAAGGCAGAAGGACAGACAATCTTGACCCAAACAATTTCTAGAAAACTCTCTGGATTTTCAGCTATGAGTTGGTTTCCACTTGAAAACAATGATGATTTTTGAGTAAGTGATGCTATTATCTTGAGATGGATTGACATAGTGACTAAAACAATGGGCTTAAGCATAGCAGAAAATGAGGATGCCACAGTACTATTTAAGGAATCCTTGTGTTATAGATAGGTTTGTTATGAGTTGGAAATGAGTCCACAATAACCAATACCAATATATTATCTCAAATACAGCATTAACCCCAAGTCAATCGATTTTTTTTAAAAAAAAATTGTTACTATTAGTGTGCACTGCAAACAATTGTGTTTCGAAGAACAAAAGACCTGAGACCTTTCTATACCTATCATTTCTCCAAGTTCACAGAGTTTCCAGAGGCATGTGGTTTAGGAAGTGGATGCCACTCCTGCTTCCCAACCTGTGTCAAAACTGGAAGTTCCACCAACACTGTACACCACGGGCTTTTGAGAACCCAATGGTAAAAGGATGAGCATCACAGCATACCCACATTACCTCAGCACAGCAAATTGGCAGAAGAATGCTGTATGTCTTAGAGGAATGTTCCTCCAAAATACAATATCAAAGGATTAAAAGATAATCCCTTATTCAAAATGAGGGTCCTCCAGAAGGTTTTGTTGTCTCTGGTTTAGGGGCTTAAATAATAATTACAGCCTAAAGAAGAAGCACTAATCTAGTGAAGTAGTATCTGAGGTATTAGAAACCTTTAGTATACAACTGCCAGCCTGGAGTGCTGCACTGCTAAGGAAAAGGTGACATTTTACAGGTACCCCAGAATAAAGAAAACCAGTTTCTATTCATTCAGACTTACACCCCCAGTACCGAGTAGACAGCAATTCTAAGTCAAACTTATGCTCTGCCAGAGAGTGGTTTATTTGTTTTATATTTCTTTGTTTTTGAGTATTGCAGTAAGATTTTAATGATTATTATTGGATATCATGAAGCAAATAAATGTATACAACTTAATGGAATTCATATATAACTATGAATAAATACATATAAAATTCAATACAATTCATGTTGTTATTGTTGTTATGTGCCATCAAGTCACTTGCAACTCATAGAGATGCTATGTACAACATCCCTAAACTCCGCTCTGTCCTGTGCCAATGGCACCATCTGCGACACACCCTTCCTGATTACCCCAGTCATTGAATCAATCCACCTCATAGGGGGCCTTCCCCTTCTGCGCTGTCCCACCATCCTACCAAGCATGATGTCCCTCTCCAAGGACCTGTCCCTCCTTGCAACATGACCAAAGTATGTTAGATGGAGCCTTAGAATCCTTGCCTTCAAAAAGCAGCCCAGTTTGACGCTTTCTAGGATGAATCTGTTTGTTTTCCTAGCAGTCCATGGTACCCTCAGTACACCTCTACGTAGCACCACAGCTCAAAGGCATCAATTCTCCTTCAATCCTCCTTAGTCATTGTCCAACTCTCTGATGCATAACAAGTGATATCAAAGACCATGGCCTGTATCAGATGCACCTTAGTCTCCAGAGAGACACCATTGCTCTTCAGTACCTTGGAGAGGTCCCTAACAGCAGACTTTCCCATGGCAATACGTCTTCTAATTTCCTGGCTGCTGGTGCCGAGAGTGTTGACTGTGGAGCCAAGCAAACTAAAGCTGTGAACAATCTCAATCTCTTCACCATCCATCCTGATGCTGCCAATTCGTCCAATGGTGAGAATCTTTGTCTTCTTGACTTTGAACCTCAATCCATATCGGAGGCTGCAGTCCTTTACCCTCTGCAGCAAGCCCTTCAGGTTCTCCTGAGTTTCATCAAGCAGGGTTGTATCATCTGCATAATGCAGATTGTTGACAGATCTTCCACCAATCTTGACCCCACATTTCTCCTCATAGAGCCCAGCCTTCCGTATAATCTGTTCTGCATACAAGTTGAATAGGTATGGAGACAGGACACATCCTTGGCGTACGCCCTTCCCAGTTTTGAACCATGCAGGGTTTACCTGCTCTATTCTGACAACTGCCTCTTGGTCCAAGTATAGGTTTCTCAATAGCACGATCATAGCCTTCTTTATTTTTTTTATCTCAGTGTTTTTGTTGTTAAGTGCTGTCAAGTCATAGTTGACTCACAGAGACCTTGTGAAAGAAAAGTCCTGGACACCTGTACAACTTTCGTCCTTTCTCCAGGTTTGTAGGGTTTCCAGAGGCAAGCTATTATGGAAGGGGATGCCACTCCTGTTTTTAAGTTTATCTTAATAGTATAACAAATATTAAACAGATGAACATCCATACTATATATTATACTCTGAAAGCAACATGAAGTTGGGTAAATAACAGTCCTCATTTAAAAAGGAATTTCAAAGAAAACTTCTAAACAATTCTAAGATATGAAAGTCATAATGAAATGAAAATGTGTGTCTACTAATGTATACACCAAAATATAATTCAATCACTACACCAAAATAAAATTACCTATACATTTTTCATAGTTTTAAGAAATCCTTTATTTATATTTAAATAAATTTCAAAAGATCAAAATAAACTAAAAGAAAATCATAATAACCTCAAATAAAAAAGTAAGAACTTACTAACCGTAACAGATACTGTAACCCAGAGAAATGAATTCTAGCAACACTTACAAGATATTATATATAGATATATGTATCTCAATTATTTAATTTAGCAACTGCTAATAATTTGCAAGTATTACATAAATGACCTAAAAAGCTAATGAAATTTAACCTTTAGATTGAAAGACAACTCATTGCTAGCTTAGTACTCAACAAAGATAAAACTTTTATATTTATAATTCATTTGACATTAAGTTTACAATAAAATATCTGTCTCTTTGGTGAAAGACAAATAATACATTCAAAAAAGTTAATTTTTATTTTATAACTGAATCATAATGAAGCAATCAGAATGGTAACAGAGGCAAAAATAAATCAGCATTTGAAATCATATATTTAAGTATTAAGACTATGCACAAAATCATTTAGGCATAACCTATTTTTAAATTTTAAATGAAGCATTACAATTCAATAAACCTAAACCTGCAACGTGTAAAATACTTTCTATTTGCTTATGCTTTACCTTGAAAGGCAATGGCTCTTCAGTAAGAGGACTAACAGGAAGTGAGGAGGTGCTACCTGCTGGGCTCATATCTGAACTCTGCAAATAAAACAAAATTGAGTTGAAGAGATATACTTCTGTAATCATTTGTATTACTAATTTAGAATCTATACCTACTTGCCAAAGTAAAACACAAATAAATGAAACATAAGGTTAAACATTTCTGTTTTTTAAAAATACAAATCATTCCTTATTTAATAATAAGTACTTGGAAAATTGGTCAAATGTCTTTCAATGTTCATTTTAACTACATTTCATTAAAACTACATCTAATAACTCACTATATTTAGAATTTTAAATCTTTCAGGCAGAATCTGAAATACATATTAAATCTGTCTCTATCATAAAATTTTATGTTATTTGAAACATGTAATTTTATGAAGGTAATATCTGCCATTAATAGTCATTTTAAAATAATATCATATCAATAATATCTTGATATTTTGCAAAGTATATTATTTTCCTCTACATAAACATTTTTAAGACAAAGCATTCATATAAAAAGAATTATTGCAGTTATATTAATTATGTTCTAAAGTATGTCATTTTTGCTAAACTTTTAAAATCTGATCAGTTAAAACTTAATAACAAATTTGCCTAAAACAAGAGAGATGTTGGTTACAAGTTTACACTTCTGATAAATGTTATTTTCTAAAATCAAGGACTTGTAGTTTGCTGTGATGGTAGATACTATGCCACTTGTTTCTTAAACTCCAGACAGGTCATCGATTGTACATAAGATTCAGCAAAGCCCCCAAATTAAGACAGACTAGAAAGTAGGATTGATCATCCACTTCTAAAATAGCAGACATCTGAAAACCCAAAGAACAGTAGAGGAACCTGGGTAGCAATAGTTACAGGAAAGGATAGGGTTCCAATCTCATTTGTAAGGTCACTATGAATAGTTTTTTACTCAATGGCACCTAACAATAACAACAAGCAAAATCAATAGTCATATACTTACATGAGGAGAAACAAAAGTTATTTTATTGTAGTCTTAACACATTCTATAAGAATTCTTCATTTAAGTAAATAAGCAAAAAGAGCAAGAGTAGGGGGGAGTAGGAAGCATATCTACTTTTTAAACTTATTTTCTAATTTACAGATTTATTCATGAGTCAATAACCATATAATTTTATAGCACAATTAAAGAAAAAGAATAAATTGATTTTTATTAATACAACCAGTTAAAACAAATATAGCTGATTTCACATAAAAAATTAAAACACATTGAATATAAATGTACATAAGGTACATAAGGTACATAAGTCTGAGTCTAGTTACAGCTTATTTATAATCCATTTAATTTTTATGTTTGTTGAAGCAAGTCAAGCTCCTTTTGCCATCTCATTAGATTCCCTGTAAATTGAGGCTGCAATTGCTATGGGAGAACATCTTGCTTTCATTTATACTCTGTTGGATTTGAACTACCAGAGATGTGAAGCTACTGAGTTAGTTGCATAATCTGCTAGGAACTATGCCAACAGAGATAAGTTCTAACTAATTATTAGTTGTGAAGTTGAAGAGACTCATAGACACCCTATTTGCAACATATATGAACCCTGTCATATGATGCACCATCCTTACAATCCTGGACACTTTTTAATCTATTGTCACAGACACTGTATCAATTCATCTTGTTGAGGATCTTTCTCTTCTTTGTTGACCCTCCACCTTTCCAAGCATGCTATCCTTTCCCAAGGAATAGCCTCTACTAGTAACAAGCTCAGAGTATAAGAGATAAAGCTTCCCCATCATTGCCTCTAAGAAGCATTTTGATATTAAGAGTTTATTGTTCACATGACTCCTCTAACCATTGACTGACTTTTCTGTGTTCATGGATAGAAATACGCAGAGAATTAGCTAATCTTGTCAAACCACAAGGAGATTGGCTAATCTCACTAGTGAATTAAGTGGATCCAGTAACAGAATTGGAAAGGCTCACCACCAGCAAAAAAGCAAGAGAAAGCAACGCTCTTTGGATCCTGAGATTCTTATATCAACCAGACCAGTGCGTATAGGATCAGTAGCCATAGCAGTAACATCAAAGAACTAGAGACCCCAAAGAAAACAGCTGACACTGAGACTGCTAACCCACACAGAATCAGAGCTAAGAGCCTTTGCCCAAGTATTCCGGGTGACTGAGGGAAGAGGGGCTGGGGAGAGGAGAGCCATAAATTGGCAGGATTAAAAATTTAAGGCTGCAGTGCCTTTAAGCATGTGTCAATAACTGCTTTGACTGCATGACTGTATTCTCCTAATAATCTGAATTATAGCTCTTTTACTTCTCTAATAAGTTTCTGTGTGGTGTGCGAGCTATAACTATGGATTTCAGATCTAGTAGAGAAGTAAGATTGGTGTTGGGAAGAGTAGAAAGAGGTGCAGGAGTATAGGGGACATGTCTGGCCTCATAGAATTGGTTTTATATTGTTGATGTGGCTGATGAGGTCAGTTTCCTTGTGGAGTTGGTAAATGTCACATATGGTAATCCTTATGAAGTACTTAATTTTTTTTTACACATTGTCAAGGATCTCATTTTATTTGTATCCAGAATCAGACCATTGTTAGAAGCAGTTAAAAAAACATGCATTGCATTGCAAAACATCTCTTTAGAGTGTTAAAAATAAAAACCATCATGTTGATAATTAAAGTGCACATGATCCACACTATGGACTTTTTTATCATGAAATGATAAATGCAAAAGCTGAACAATGAGTAAAGAAGACCTTAGAAGAATTGATAGATTTGAGCTATGGTTTTTAGTAGAAAATATACCATGAACGGCCGAAAGCACAAATCAATCTGTCTTGAAAGAAGTAAAACTAGAATGATCCTTGAAAGCAAGAACGGAAATATTGTCTTAAGTACTTTGCACATATTTTCTGGAAGAGCCAGTCCTTGGAGAAGGCCATTATGTTTGGAGAAGCAGTGGGTCAGCAAAAGAGGAGACTCTTAATGCTATGTATTTACACACAGGTCTTTTGTTCATGGGGTCACTATGAGTCATGCTTGACTCAAAGGTAGTCAACAACAACATAGATGCAGCAATCAAAAATACCATTGCTTGAGATGCGTATGTCCACTAAAGATGGCCTCAAAATTATATATTTGCTGCTTAACACACTAAAGAGGGCCTTTGCAGAAGATTTTTTCCAATTCAGTATGGGTTGTTTTTTTTTACTATAAGCTGAAATTTAATTTTCTCCTTGTTACCAAAGAAAATTTATTAATCTTGTTACATTAAAACAGTAGTTATTAATTTGTAGTGCCCCTCTTTTGGGTTGTAATACAATTTCTCTGAAAGTAACCAGGACTTATTGACAGACTCTACAGAAAGGAGGGGAATGTACAAGATGAGCCAAGAGCAGTCTGTAGTTCTCAAAGGAAGAAAAGTGGTTCAAGGGAGGGGGAAAAAGATTTGGTACACGTCAAAGGAATAAAGTTGCAAACATAAAAGAAGTCTTAACATCTAAAGTTAAAACAATAGATTAAATCACATAGTATTGGATTCTAATTTAAAATATGAAACAAATATCCATGAGTCCATAATGACATGAATTTTTAATACATTCCTGTTGTTAGATGTGATTCTGTCAACTACGATCTATAGCTATCATATATGCAATGGTTCTGTGGCATCCTCATCACTTCTGATAGACTTCTACCTATCTACAGTCGCTGTACTGATTCATCCTGTTGAGCTTATATTAAAACAGACATATTGAGAAAATCCCTTTCATTGATCCTGACCTTTCTAAGAATTGAATATATATTAATTTCATATTTAATAATTTGAATAAATGAATGGAAGAAAAGAGACACATTTTTGTCTTCCAAAAATCCAAATTACTTTATAAAGATATCTTCTTTAAGAGGTATCACTTAACTACCTCTTCTACACTTCTAGGGTTATTCTAAAAAACCCTTGATATTTCAAAGTCATCAAAGACAAGGTCAGTATAAGTTAGGAATCATAATGATTAATATAATGTGGTATATGATCAAGAAGCAATGGTGATAAAGGAGGAAGTTCAGGCTGTTCTGAAGGACTTGGCAGAAAATAAAGCACCAGCAATTGATGGAACACCAATTGACACCTTTGAACAAACAGATGCTGCCCTGGATAAGCTCACCAAGTTGTGTCAAGATTTTGAAGGACAACTACTTGGCCAACTGACTGGAGGAAATCCATATTCATTCCCATTCCAAAAAACAGGTGAGCTGACAGAGTATGGAAATTATAAAATAATATCATAATGTCACACACTATCAGTATACTGCTGAAGATTATCCAGAAATGATTGGAACAGTACTTTGTCAGAGAACTACCAGAAACGCAAGTTGGGTTTAGAAGAAGTTGTGGAACTAAAATCATTACTGTCAATATCAGATGGATCTTGGCAGAAAGCAAAGAGTACCAGAGGATGTATATCTGTGTTTCATTGACTATGCAAAGACATTTGGCTGTGTGGGTCACAACAAACTGTGGTTAACTTTGAGAACACTTGATTGTGCTTACGGCAAACCTATATTTGGACCAGAAATCAGTCCTCAAAATAGAGTAGAAAAACAATGTATGGTTCAAAACCAGAAAAGGAGTGTATCGGGAAGTGTATACCTTTTCAATCTATATGCAGAACAGATCATTGGGGAAGCTGGGCTTTATGAGTAGGAATGTGGCATCAGCATTGGAGGTAGACTCATCAACAACTTAAGTTATGCAGATGACACAACTTTGCTTACTGAAACTGAAGAAGACCAGAAGGTCTTCTGCACAAGGTCAAAGACTGTAGTCTTCAATATGGATTAAAGTGTAACATCAAGAAGACAAGGATTCTCACCACTGGGTCAATTGGAAGCATTATGATAGATGGAGAAGAGATTGAAGTTGTTAACAATTACAGCTTACTCGACTCAATACCCTTAACACCATCAGTCAGGAAATTAAAAGACAAATTGCATTGGGAAAATCAATGAGGGACCTCTCCAGAGTACTGAAAAGCAATGATGTCAGTCTAGAGGCTAAGGTGTGTTTAATC